TCGCTTGGCAAAGACGTTGTAAAACAAGCCAATTCACTTCGTGAGCTCGGCAACCAGGTTACCTTTTTTTTTGTTACCTCCGGTTATTTTTTTGGCGGTAACTATACTGGTTGTCGAGTAGATCATGTTGTGCGGGGTGGAGAACCCTCACTCCGAGCAAGGGGGATGATCGCACCACGTTGTGTTAAAACGGTCNCGTCCCGGCTTTGTAGGGATGCGAGGTCAATGGTCTAACGACTACGGCATGCACGACTATGAGTACACCCCCCCCCGGTGGTAGCGGTAAGCTGTGACCTCCGTACACCATGGTGAGTTGCAACAATATTATGCGACCCGTGCGTTTGGCGAAGGTGGTCATGCTGCAACTGATTCCCACCTGTAGCAACGCGTGCCAGATGTCGTGGTATCCGGTAACTCCGTCGTTCAGAGCGACATGTCCCGAGTCTGTACACACGTAACCGTCTGGGCATGAGTAGCCTTTGCCGCACACGACATCGTCGGAGAGGACGTCGGACGTGACAGCATCCTCGCAGGTGTGGTCGAAGGATTCGGCCCAGTACGTGTACCTGCTCCCGAGCCAGGTTAGAGTTGAGTGTACTTGGAATGGCTAAGGTGCGAGGCAAGGATTGAAGCGTATGTAGATTCGTTTTTCAATGGGCTAGTTTCCACGAAGAAGCCGTACATAATCTCGTGAGGAGCCTCAGGAATAGCCTACTTCCGTTACTACAACTGGTTTGGCTCAGTCGTGCCTGTGCTGAAGCGGCACGAAGTAGCGACACCAAAACATATATCTTTAACTGTATGTTGCAGGTCGTCTACCGTCAAGTAAAGGTATTGGCTCACCCAACATTCCCGAAGAAAAGCATCACAATGCCAACGCACAGCAACAGCGTGTTGACCACCTTGAAAGCGCTGATGACTGTTTCAAACAAGAGCTTCACCTAATCCCACGATATCATACGTTGGCAAGGACAGCATCGACCGGGAGGAAGAGATGGTGAGGGTGGGCTATGTTGGTTGATGGATGCCTCTAAGGGGCACTCAAAGTCGAGATACAGTACAGTAGTAACCGCCTTGTGTGGCTTCGTGTCGAAATGACCGTGGGCACTGGTTGCTGCGCAAGCCATTGGGTAACCCAACATGTATATCATGCGATCTTGACGACATGAAGTCGGCTTTCGACAACTTTCTTATCTAAAACTCGAGCCAGGTATATTGTAATAGTGGGCTCCAAGCACATGGTCTGGTGTGAATTATGCGATGAAACGTCATGTGCGTCGTAGATGGACGTTTGGCATCTCCATGTTCCCTCGGGGATCAAGGCACATCGTGAGGAAAGCCAGAGCGCTTCTAAGCAGCTACCGACAGGGGTCGAGCAAGGGAACGCAGCAAAAACGTTCACATACCTGCTGTATGTACGTGATTGCTCGAAGTGGCCTGAGGACTCGCAAGCCTCGCAATGCAGATATATCCAGCGAGCTTGTGGACTTGAAGGCCTTGAGCACAAGGCTGACCGCGCTCTCCAGAACGACGACAAAGTCCACCCTCCAAGATTCAAGTCAAAGAAGCAGCAAGGAGGGCGGAAATGCCCGATCGCGACATAGGGCTGAACAAGCACACAAATTGGCACAGACCAGTTTATAATTGTCTTAAAAGTTTACGGCATGGACTCAGACAGCATGCGCCAAGAGATGTTTGTTATGACATCTATTTGGTGTTACGTGGTGTTGTTCTCTCAACGTTTTGTACGACTCCAGACTAAAACGTGACTCCATTGGAATGCTGAGCGGGAAGTTCGAAGCATCGGCGGTGAGTTCAAGGTCATTATCGCAAGGAACTGGAGGTGATATACATCACTTACGACAACAGGAATGGTCAAACGTTACAGCTTGTGGGTAAAAACTCTGAGCCGCGGACTCCTGACTACAAAGGGAAAACCTGGATAAACATGCTCTGTTTCGTTTTTCCAGGAATATTTTCGGTTGCTGGTATTATAGAGTAGTGTGTGCTACAAGGGTGGACCTGACGCACATTGGTAAATACGACAAGTTTTCACCTGAAGAGTCTGGGGTAAACTCTTGTACGTCTATGGACTTACTCACCAATTCCAATTGTCCTTGAAGTAGGTGGGGATGCTGAGAGCTAGCCACTTGGCTAAGAGCTCCGCAATGAATATCGAACTGAACACGTAATCTCCAGCGACGATGTATCCATCCTGGTCAAAGCGTGACATTGGATTGATGGCGCATAGCTTGAGGGACAACGCAAGTGGTTTGGATGAAGGTTGTCAGATGCTCCAGATACCCGATGATGTGAATGTACAGCAGTACCAATGACCATCATCAGCAGAGTGCGAGACGCCCAACCACCAACAACGTACGGATCCTCACTGAGTTAAGGGTGGGAACTTCGAGGAACTGTCTCGAAAAAATGCATAGGAAATTACTCACAATCGATCATGAAACTCTGTAAAGTATCTAGTCTACTGCTGTACCAGTCACAGTAGTGTACTATTGAAGCCATGCAGACTCTATGCTGAACATGAGCAGGCACGAGGAACAGAAACTCTAGAGTGCTGGTGTGGTGACAAACATCCCTCGAACCACGAATGATGCAAGAACCATACCTGCTCGTTTGAGGCCCTGGTAGGATCGTACAGAGCCAAGAAGTAGCAGTTGACTATGATAGTCAAGACGATCACTCGGTCGAACCATGGGTTTGACACTAACCGATATGCGATCTCGTCAATCCTAACGTTGCACATATTCCCCGGCGTGTGACTCCCTCAGCGCGAGCACTTCTGCCTGTTCACACTGCTGGACCGACAGGCAGTCCAGCACTCCCCTCCACCCGCATGCCCGAACTCAGCAGCTCAGCAATCCGGTAGCTGTGGACAAACCGAAGCATTAGATATCCAGGAAGCCAAACAGTCATGCAGTGCTTTGTCGACGCGCTGGTCGCGCCGCAGTTGTCGGAGATGTCGGAGATGTCCGAAATAATGTGACGTTTTGTAGTCAGAGGCCTCCATATCTTCGCAAAACTACGATCTCCGAATCTCCCCCGACTTTCATTTCATCTCTACCAGAGAGAGCAGGCCCTTGCACACCTGAGCACACGTCTTCGACTATCCGGTGAGCAAAGTATTTGAATTTCGTGGATCGGAGGTCTACATGTATAAGAGTCCACGTACTGCGCCGCCCGTGGCCAGACCGTTGCCTGTCCGCGCTCGGCGTATCGAGATATGTAAGCAATATTTTCCCGGGTCTGCTCGGACAGAGGTGCAGGCGCCAAAGTGTATTTGACGTGTGCAATCACCACAGATGTTAGAACGAGAATTCGCCCCTTGGCTCGACCTAAGTCTACATGCCGGGCTTGAGGGCTTTCGCTGCTGCAGCAATTGCAGATTTAATCGCGGGATGCCAATGTTGTTGGTGCTGTTGGTTCACGTGATTACTATTGCTATGTGCGGTCTACACTATGTGTAGATGTATGTGGAGTCTGTGTAAATTTCAAATTTCCGCACGACAGAGTGATGAGCGACTTCCAGAGGGAGGAGGTCTATCTGTATGCGGCAAAGCGTTCGCGCTGCTCCATGAGTGGGAGTCGTGACGGGCATGCCCCCTAGAGCCATATACCGTGTCCGCGATGACTTTGTTCCGGAAGGACTTCTTCCCCATGGTCAAGACAACCACCCGCGGAGAATGACATATTTCAACTTTTGGACAGAATCCCGCCGCCTGCTTTGGCACTTTGAATCTTGAATTCTTGAATCCCCACGACCAAGAGAAAAAAGTGACGGTAACGACATACAGTCGACCCCGCTTTAAGGACGCACATGTTTTTTCCCGAAAAAAAACGTCCGTAAGGGTTGCGCCCTTAAAATTCAGGGGACGATAGCTAACCATCCCCGGGGCCAATGGAAGCATGCTAAACTATACCTCAAACTACGCGTCTTTGCTAAGGAAGGGGGTGGAACGAAAAGTCAGCATCGCCGAGACGACTGGCAACCGTTTGTTGACGTTGAACATATATGCAATACTTTTAAATGAGATTTACAGCAGTCGGTGAAAACAACTACAGCTCACCAGTCTGTACTTGGCCAACTAATGTACTGCATAGCCGGCAGCGGAAGGAGGAGGAAAGTCCAAGTAGACACATATTTATCTCATTCTTGTGAAACAAAAAAAAACGAGCGTATTCCAGCGTCGCACCGAGGAACACCAGTACATACCACTGTCCCGGCGGAGACCAAAAGCTACCTGGATGGCTTTTCAATCCACATACCTGGTATAGACTATATCGCGAAGAGTTCCCTGAACCTCCCCCCGCGGCTTGGCTCTACGGCTGTGTTGAGTTTCATGAGTAAACGAATGAACAGTCTTCGAAAGAAGGTACTGCGTCTCACGGTTCTCGCCACCCCTTCCCTTCGCGTGCAAACACAGATAGCGCCCGCAGTTAAGAAAAATTCTGTTAAGAAAAAAAGCTCAAGGTTGTGCGAAAAATATGACAAAAGGGCTAAGAAACATAGCTTAATCTCGGCCACAACGCAAGAAACGCCCTNCGAAAGAAGGTACTGCGTCTCACGGTTCTCGCCACCCCTTCCCTTCGCGTGCAAACACAGATAGCGCCCGCAGTTAAGAAAAATTCTGTTAAGAAAAAAAGCTCAAGGTTGTGCGAAAAATATGACAAAAGGGCTAAGAAACATAGCTTAATCTCGGCCACAACGCAAGAAACGCCCTAACAAGAAACATGATGGTGCGATACCCCCATGACATCAGAAATCTGCGGTGCTCCCACCCCCCTCCGAAGCTGAACAGAAGTGCATTTTTTTTGCAAGGGGCAGAGTCCCCCTCCCCCGCGCGCCCCTGCTGTTCACAGTGAGTGCTGTACTGAAGTACTGCCACACATCGCGGACAACCATATGCTCTCCGCTGTTGTACGGGTTTGATGGCACTCTCCACCAGCTCTCGTGAGGGCTTGATGATGTGGATTGTCCTCAGATATCACAAAATATATAAAAATATAATACGAAGTACTTGNCTCCGAAGCTGAACAGAAGTGCATTTTTTTTGCAAGGGGCAGAGTCCCCCTCCCCCGCGCGCCCCTGCTGTTCACAGTGAGTGCTGTACTGAAGTACTGCCACACATCGCGGACAACCATATGCTCTCCGCTGTTGTACGGGTTTGATGGCACTCTCCACCAGCTCTCGTGAGGGCTTGATGATGTGGATTGTCCTCAGATATCACAAAATATATAAAAATATAATACGAAGTACTTGTTGTAGTCTAAGGAATAAGGGAATCGGGAGGATGCGACAGTCCAAAGGAAGAAGAAATGCCATTTACGAAAGTGGACGACTTGAGGGATTGAGGCTCGATCCGATTCTGACGTTTCTTAACTGCGGGCGCTATCTGTAGGATCGAACGTCCTCCAAGCGAGAGATGACCTCGCCCTCGGTGAGGGACGAGGTTACGCACGACTTTTTTTGGCGGCATCAGATGGACCGCCGGTAGATGGGAGGAATCTATCCATACCAACACCCAGTTGCAGCTGCAGCAGCAGACCGCTCGCTACTTCTGCTGCCTATGCGTCGCTACTTCTGCACTCACTGTGGTGCGTGGCGCATGCAAAGAGCGGCCCGCAGGACACAAAAAGGGGTGTACGCGGCAGAAAAAAATGGGGGTACCCCATTATCGTATATTCGGCCGGGCTCCCTGGTGCTGAGCAAAATAAGTTTCCTTATAACGGGGAGTTTCCTTAACGCGAGCGTCCTTAAAGCCGAGTCGACTGTACTCTAGCCTACATTACTCGAGACGCGTGCCGCAAGATCGCCGTATCCACAATGAAATGTCCCCGTAATCGTACGGCCAGTGGCAGCGGTGTGATGTACGGGGTGGACAACTGTGTACACATAAACGCGATTTTAGCAGTGTAGGTTCTTCGCGCACACTACATTAAATACACGATAATACACCATGCTCCTGCAAAGACGCCGCTACCCTAAAAGTACACAATCACGCATTCGCGCGAAAAGCCACGGTGAGAACAACATATTATCCAGCACAGTTCGTACGTAAAACCGGCACTACCGGCAGTTGAGATGCAACGACACAACCGTCATGACGCACGTCCTCTTGCGATTTCCCTCGGAGGCGAGTCGCACAATACCCGAAGGGGAGCCCTGTGTTGCGATAGGCTATGTCTTCTCTCAGTACGCCCTCAGTTTCCACCCCTTCTCCTTGATTCGTCCGTTCGTTTGGCAGGTTCACGCGTCGCACTCTTCCCTACCACCAAACAACCTCCAGCAACTGTACGCCACACGCGCCATGCAACCGGCAGGCGGCGGACAAGCCTCACGCGGCGGTGGCGCGTCTTCGCGACCATCCCCGAATGCATCGCTCACATCGAAGGGAGCTCCCGAAGCGTCAACATACGGCAACGGTCGCAGTAGCGGTGGAGGCGGCGGCAGCGGCGGCCTTTCACTACCGGGCCGGCGCCCGGTCGCTACGACCGCACACCCCATGCCCCGCCCGTCTCCTCTTGCCGGGAGAATAGCAGCTTCAGCGTCTGGGGGAATGCGTCGTTTCAATACCGCCCAGACGCCCCGTGCTGCTCCTGCTGCTGCTCCTGCTGCTGCTGCTGCTACTGTTACCGCTGCTGCCATCGCCGCTGCTGCTGTCGATGTTCGAGCTGTTGCCGCAGGCGTTGCTGCTACTGCTGTTGGAGCTTACCGTACGGCGAGCCCTGACACCAGGTGTGGCGCAATGCCCAGGCGAAGAACATATCTAATGAAAATCCGTTGACAGAGCGGGTTTGAGTATTGTTATTAAGCTTGAAAAATACCATACGATAGCATTTGCTTGAAGTAAAATAGGAGGACGTGGAGGCCACAGCAACAAGCGCCTCCTGGTGAATTACCCCAATGCGTTCATACAGCCGGTTGTTTTTTGTTGACCCTAGGCATTTTCTGCTTTTCTTCTCTTTCAGCGAGAGGTCTCTGGCGATGAGAAGGATATCACAGCAGTCGTCTACTGGATGTTGTGCTGGTTCTACTTCTTCACGGCGAGACGATGCCGAACTCTCCCAGGTACGGTAGAGCATTTTTTCAAAAAGTGATTGTGTTTGTCGCTGCTGTTGTGGCTGGTGGAGCTGGTATTATTGGAAGTGGTGTCGGGGGTGGTAGTGTACTCGCACACACAGCCCACAGCCCAATCTGGAACCAATATCCCGATACTTCGAAGCCAATGCCCACAAGTTCCGTTGTTAGAAGCGTCTCCTTGCATGGCGCAAAATACCAGCATGGTGCAGCATAACCTTAAGCACGCGCTTCAGAATACGAAGAAAGATGAAAAGCAAACGTCAGCGAGAAAAGGCTTGTTGTTTACATCAGACGACTACCCACCATCCAGTGATGACACCGCGAGAGACGCTATGAGGTTGAACTGCTCCACGAGACCAGCACCATGGACTGGATATTGGACCACGTGGTCTCCACGACTGAGGATGGGGGGCGCACTCTTCGTAGCTCGTGCTGAGCCACTGTGTATCGAAATACATACCCAATAAGGTGTTTTAATGAGCCGCGGAGCGCGAAGTGCGACCTTTTTCCCTTCGTCCCGGAGGGAAAAAAAGGCTCTAAATATATATCGGCCAACGTTGCGCCGCACGATACAGGGGCCCCAAAACTTGATTCCGGGGAAGCCGAAATACCGCACCTTTGGGATTAGAAAGACATCCAAAGGGCACCGATCGACGATCTGTTCGCCTCTGAGGAAGAAGGAAAGTAACGCACTCTTGTTGACACTGGTTTGGTTGTGCTCCGATAGCAGATGGCCGTGCTACGCAGGCGTTCGTGCCCTATAATGGTAGGAGATCTTGCTCCCTAACCCCGGGGTTTCTACGCGGAAAGGCGTGCAAAAAAAAAGCGGAGATCGCGCGCGCGTGCGATTCAAACCAGGACAAGGAACACCGACAGACACGCAAAAACACCACCAACGAACGCATCACCGCTGAGACGCTGGTCTGAGACAAGCTATGAAAACCAGGACGAGCCGGGCCTATACGGCCTGTGCACCGTGGGTATACTGTAGGCATGCGCCATGTGTAACCTAGCGGGTGTTTATTGATGTTGAGTGGGTCCAACCGACTGCTCCAAAAGGAGCAGACCGATGATCACAATTAATCCAACACACAAATAACACACCTTCCCAAGTCCAGATCACACGTATTATACCATCATCGAGAGAATCCGTCGAGGGCGTGGGGGTTTACTGCTGCTGCTGCTGTGCGTTATCAGAATGAATCCCCCCGGGATCGGTTCAGATTGCGTACTTGCGCCGCGCTACTGACTGTCTTCGCAAAAGCAGTGCCATGCATGCTGTTGTTGCTGCTGCAGGGTGTCTCGCATCAAAGTCATGACGTCATGAACATCAACAGCTTTGTTGTTTTTGGTCCATGCTGGACTGGTTTCTTTCACTTGGCGGGAAACTCGGAAGGCTTGAGACGAATGTGGCGGATACGTTGTAAGCCTGACGCAATAATTGCCATCTGTGGAGTCACAATCCTATTTCTACGCTCTGGTCGTGTTCCTCGACGGTGTGATGTGTGACACGCTCGCCGCCAGGTATTCGCCGGATGCGTGCCCCTTCCAGATGCCCAGATGTGCGTGTTTGCGTCCGCACAGCGCGAAGACTTGACATCTTCACATTTTGTTTCTTCGTCCATGTGCATCAAAACGGAAAAGAAACAACCGCACGTAAAGTGCAAATTTTGAACGGTGGCCGCACATGCAACGAACCATCGTCGCTCCCGTCTCACGCCTGCTGTCCCTCTGTGGTGCACGCGTAGCTGCAGCACAAACGATTCACGCTGTTGTGTGTCGGGATTCGTGCATCATCAGCATCGCAGATAAGACTACTGCAAGTTATTGTGTCGCACCACGCGGCTCATTACCCCCCCATACCTAGTAGGAGCCCAGCACTATTTCGTGCTTACCCCCTGCTCGCTTGTCTTAGTACTGTTCTTCACAGGAGTAAAACGAGCACAAAAGTACCAACAACGCAGCTTTGTCCGAACTCCACCAAATGATGCATTCCTTCCATTGACGCAACGTGCCCGCATGTAATGGTGCGGCCAACATAGGAACGCCCCGCTTGTTGGGTCCCGGGGGCCGCGGCGTTGAACGAGGCATTGTCGGCCACCGGCGGCTCTCCCGCGACGCGCCCTCCCGGGACCTCCACTTACCGCCGTCCCCCTCGCGGAGATGCCGGCGGCGGCCCCGGTACCACTGGCGATAGGCCTGGTGCAGGGAGGTCTGGTGTGAGGAGGGTAGCAGGAGAAGAGGAGGAAGGGGAGGGGGGAGGGGGGGGCAGCGGGGCGCGGGGCAGGACCACCGGCGGCGGTGGAGCTTCGGGAACGTCCGGGCTTGGGGTCCACAGCCTCGACGTTGTCGCTCGACCCGCTCGTCCTCTGGCTTCTAGGCCAGTGATGGAGAAGGAAAGGTGGGTGTAACACGCCCTCGGAAAAAAACCTGTTCACCGGTTCTTGGATCTACGTTCGTTTACATCCTTGGTGTCGTTCGTTGCTGCTGTTGTCCTTGTTTCTGCCCCGTAGCTCTTGTTGCTGTTGCTGTTTGCATTGTACAGCAGTACTCACAAGAACGCACGGAAATCTTGACCAATAAACATGGAATATGGCTTTCTCAGGCCTGTTTTTTGTTAGCTCAGAATCGCATCGTTTATTTCGCTGTAGGGATTCATGAGGGCATTCTTGCTCCGGGCGGTACCAAAATTCGATCGGAGGGGGACTCCGCAACTGGCTGAGTCTGTGCCATAACCTGACCGCGCTGCACTTGATACTTGATACCATGGCCTCACTTGACACTGTGATTGCTCAGCCTGCTGATGTTCACGGGCAATGTTTCTGAGGCGTGCGGACTTGAGATCGCATTGACAAAGCAACAACTGTTGATGAAGAGCCCATAGCGACGTGTCAAAGTACCAGCTCGAGCCAGACTTACGTTGTTCTGCGAAGACAACGAAACACATTCTCGAAGGACCTATCATCCTTGTCACCCGGCGATAACAACAAAGTGACCTTACGGTTTTCACCTTCATTGCTTTTTCGTGCTCATCATGATCCTTTACATGTTTAGGCAAGGTGCTCTGTGTTTGTTGTTGTTCGTTCTGACAATAATTCATACGCATTTATTTGGTTTTTTAAGGCAACATCAATGTGGAGATGAGACTCGGCGCACATCGCCGATAAAATGGTTTGTTTCGAGTTTTTGTGTTGAACGAAGGCAGAGTAAAACACGTTTGTCCATAACAATGACAATTATTACTAACGTCATCGGCAACCGTCAGGCCAACTCATGGTTTCGAGGACAACAGTCACAGTAGCCTGCCTACAGTCGACCCTGAGCAGCAGCAGCAGGAGCAGCAGGAGCAGGAGCAGGAGGAGGAGTATCAGCAGCAGCAACACCAGCAACACCAGCAGCACTACCAGCGGCAACAGCAGCAGTGGCAGCAGCACCACCATCATCACCAGTGGGCGGTTCAACAGGAACAACAGGGACAGGAGCAGCAGCAAGAGGAGCAGCAGCAAGAGGAGCGACAGCGTGAGGAGCAATACATGGAGGACCAGTTGGAGCGGAGTGAGGACGAGGAACAGCAGCACGAGGAGAACGGCAACGCGGACGCGTTGGAAGCTGCGGACACCGTCGACAATGACATGTTCCAACTGGCCGACGCAGAGGAGGACGCCGAACGCAACAAGGCAAAAATGGTGAGACGGAACATCCCGCGTGGTGTTTAACTGACCGAGCTGACACAAATGACCCCGTGGCAAAACTTATGAGGTAACGAGCGTCCGCGGGCGATGTATCTTACTGATTTAGCTCCCCACGAGACAACCGGGTCCACACAGGTGAGAGAGAGAGGTTCCGTCGTGTGACGATTGGTTGACTACAAGTAAACATTGAAACAGAGACGACGGTCAAGGTGAGGGGTAATTTTTTTCTGCCTGAGCTAACCCAAGGGAGAACGCATGCAGCTTTCTCTTTCGGGACGGAAATTTTCGTTGTATCTCGGGCTCTGGGGTTGTTTGCTGTCGCTGCCGTTTGCACCAGGGCAGACGTGATCGATCAAGGATGCAGCCTGCGCGGCGCTGAAAGTGCTGCTTAGACTGCGGTAATCGGTAGGGGTAGGGTGTGAAAGGTGAAATGATGGCAGCAGGAATTAGAATTTCCCCAAGCGATGTCCGTCCCATGCCAATCGGTTTGCATCCGGAGAAAAGGAGTTTCGTCAGACACGGCTATCGTGAGTTTTTGTCAGCTGGTTGTCCTTACCTAGAATCCAAACCAAATCGACACGCGCGGCACCATTGTCAACCCCACGTACAGGCAAGCCAGAATCCCTTGCTATCCACCTGTATTATCGTTTACATCGTGGGTGCTTCTTAGCAACCGATGGGACGTTGTTTCATTCATTTTTTGACTCGCGGGCTACTGCGAAAAACCTTCCTTGTGTGGATACAGGATCAATGTGAGGCTTTGGTGAGACAAAAGCAGGAAGCTTTGGCCAGGTTTCGCAGGGATTGCGAGGCGGAGGTGGAGCGTATCAAGTGAGTTAGAGAGAGAGAGAGAGAGAGAGAGAGAGAGAGAGAGAGAGANGAGAGAGAGAGAGAGAGAGAGAGAGAGAGAGAAGTTATGGGGGTCGCACACATCCTGTTCGAAGAACGCGGTTTGGAGTGCGTACAAACAACTCGACGCACCCTCAACACTAGGCGTGAAGGTTGTGAATATTACTTTTCGCCCAGCGGATTATTGTTTTCGTTCAATCCGGTCATGGGACGCCCGACAATAATTTGGATCACCGTGGGGTGGCGTGGCTGAAGAGAGGACGTGGGCGACATGACGAGGTCCACCGGTCTCACACCGTTTGTCCTCATTTCACTTTGGGTTTATGTATTTGGTACTGACATGTTTCGTTGTTCGATCAATTTCGTTGCTCCTGAGTGATCACCCTTATCCACCTTGCCATAACCAGTCTGTAGGGCTTGGTCCTGGTAATGTTCCAAACTCGAATCATACTTTTGTTGGCATATTTTCCCCCTCTGATACACACCTGCATGCGATCGTGTTTTTTCGTTTTTCGTCAGGGCGGTCATGGAGGAGCACGTGGCCCAGCTAGAGCTCAAGCTGAAAGGAGAAATCCAAGTTTCTCTGGACGGAACCGTCAAAGCCAAGATCGAACACAACCACAGGGACAAAAGCCGGTGGCGACCCCCCCCCAAGCGGGTTTTCAATTCCGCCGTAACTGGTTGCTCGCGACTACTACCGTAGGTTGCATGAGATATCACACCCCCTGGGCCGATTTTCAAAGCTCGATTACTCGGCAGGGAAAGCAGCGACGGTGCCGAAAACAGCCGGAGTTGGAAACCCTCCCGTCGAGAGCCTTTCCGAGCACGTATCGTTTGCCTCCGGCATCCTCTTGGTCGTGAAATGATCGAGCTTTGACAATCGGTCCTGGGTGTGTGGTATCTTACGCAAACCGACGGTAGTCTAAAGCCTGCTAGGTCCTGCTTTCATGCTGTTGTTGAGATTGTCGTCGTCTGTTTTGTTGTTACTGCTGGTGGTGGTGGTTGTGTCGGTGGTGATGTTAGTGGGATCGGTAGATGGTGTTGTTGTCAGTTGCGCTCCGCTTTCTTCAAATTCAACGCATGCCATGACCTTCGCCCACCTTACTCAGGGCTGGTGCTAAACGGATGAGATGCATCTCCTCGGTTGGCCAAAGGCTGACACAAAATCCTGAAAAAATATACAGTTTACAATATCGCTCTTTTGGCAGTCCGTGTTTTTGCTTTTTGTTTTGTAGGATAATACAAGAACCCCACAGACGCGACGAGCGCAACCGTATCAAAATTAGGTACGTTACTTAGTGGAAGTTTTTTTTCTGTCGATTGTTGTTGTTTGTCACCAGGGCCCGGAAAGCGCACCAGATCCTGTCCTCCTTCTCCGCTGCCCCTCTGGTCTCCAAGATGCGGCGTTTCGATTGGTGAGTACCGCAACTCGGCTGAGCAAGGGGGTACAGACTAAATTGATGTCCGAGCCAAGCCTGGACACCATTCCGAGCTTCAATAAACTCAACCCTTCTCTCTCAAACAGGATGGCCGGAGGGGACATGCAGTTTTTAGTCTCACTCGTGCAAGACCTGCTGAGCAGAATGTGATACAGCAGTTTGGAGCATAAACGTTGTAGGTAAACGCTGTGTGAGCCATTGTAGAATTTGGGCCCCCAACATGAGTTTGATCTCTGTTCTGCACAGAGTTCTTGTATGGGTCCGAGTATCCTGCTGTAGTGCTTGTACTACTGTGCTGCGGTGCGGACTCAACGAATAATTTCAAATAGAGGTAGACAAGAAAGGTGTAGTCTACAGACAAGCTGCTGCTACGCGTGCAGCTCACCCATCACTCATCGGACGTGAGACGAACATCGAGTGTGTGAGTTGCGGGCGGGTGATATGGTTGTGGACGAGAGCGATCCTCCGCCACTATAGTCGACCCCGCTTTGAGGACGCATATGGGTTTTCCCGAAAAAAAAACGTCCGTAAAGCGGGGTTGTATCCTTGAAATTCAGGGGACGATAGCTGACCATCCCCGGGGCCAATGGAGGCATGCTATACCTCAAACTATGTATCTTTTGCTAAGGAAGGGGGTGGTTCGAAAGTCAGCATCGCCGAGACTGGCAACCGTTTGTTGACGTCGAACATATATGCAATACTTTTAAATGAGATTTACAGCAGTCGGGGACGTGTTGAAAACAACTACCGCTCACCAGTTTCTACTTGACCAACTAATATATGTACTGCATAATAGCCGGCAGCGGAAGGAGGAGGAAAAGTCCAAGTAGACATATATTTATCTCATTCTTGTGAAACAAAAAAAAAACGAGCGTATTCCAGCGTCGCACCGAGGAACACCAGTACATATCACTGTCCCGGCGGAGACCAAAAGCTACCTGGATGGCTTTTCCTTCCACTTAAAGACTACATCGCGAAGAGTTCCCTGAACCCCCCCCCGCGGCTTGGCTCTACTACGGCTGGCTGTGTTGAGTTTCATGAGTAAACGAATGAACAGTCTTCGAAAGAAGGTACTGCGTCTCACGGTTCTCGCCACCCCTTCCCTTCGCGTACAAACACAGATAGCGCCCGCAATTAAGAAAAATTCAAGAAAAAAGGCTCAAGGTTGTGCGAAAAATATGACAAAAGGGCTAAGAAACATAGCTTAATCTCGGCCACAACGTAAGAAACGCCCCAAAAAGAAATATGATGGTGCGCGATACCCCCATGACATCAGAAATCTGCGGTGCTCCCACCCCCCTCCGAAGCTGAACAGAAGTGCATTTTTTTTTGCAAGGGGCAGAGTCCCCCCCCCCTTCCCGCCGCGCGCCCCTGCTGTTCACAGCAGTGAGTGCTGTACTGTAGTACTGCCACACATACATCGCGGAAAACCATATGCTCTCCGCTGTTGTACGGGTTTGATGGCACTCTCCACCAGCTCTCGTGAGGGCTTGATGATGTGGATTGTCCTCAGAGATCACAAAATATATACTCGGAGTATATATAATACGAAGTACTTGTTGTAGTCTAAGGAATAAGGGAATCGGGAGGATGCGACAGTCCAAAGGAAGAAGAAATGCCACTTACGAAAGTGGACGACTTGAGGGATTGAGGCTCGATCCGATTCTGACGTTTCTTAACTGCGGGCGCTATCTGTAGGATCGAACGTCCTCCAAGCGAGAGATGACCTCGCCGTCGGTGAGGGACGAGGTTACGCACGACTTTTTTTTGGCGGCATCAGATGGACCGCCGGCAGATGGGAGGAATCTATCCATACCAACACCCAGTTGCAGCTGCAGCAGCAGACCGCTCGCTACTTCTGCTGTCTGTGCGTCGCTACTTAACTTGTGCACTCACTGTGGTGCGTGGTTCGTGCAAACGCGGCCCGCAGGCAGGCGGCAGGCCCGTACGACACAAAAAGTGGGGGTACGCAGCAGGAAAAATGGGGGTATCCCATTATCGTATATTCGGTCGGGGCCCCTGGTGCTGAGCAAAACAAGGTGCCGAATAGCGGAGAGTTTCCTTAACGCGAGCGTCCTTAAAGCCGGGTCGACTGTAGATTAATGTTTGTGTCGTTGCTCATGGGATAAAATTGCTTCTGAATCCGTGGCTGATACACCTCGCAACATATTCCACCGCACGCACACGGTACACAGATTCATTCGGATACGCTATCATCTTCCAGATGCCCTCAGAGGCACACCTTTGCCAGGGAGCGTACGGATCTTTTTTTGCTGTCTCCATGGGACTCAGGATGTGAACATGGGCAGCCCTCGAACCGGTCTCCAGCGTTGCGACACCTCGATGAGGTTGTCGACTTTCGGCCACCAGCGTACTGCACCAGCACCAACACTTGGGTCGGGTGCCAGCCATAACCGAAGCTCTACTTGTATAGAGAATGTTTTAGTCTGCGTACCATTGCCTCCTAAGCTGTTGAGCCTCAACGGACGATAGCGTCATGAATGTGGCCCTCGGGGCGACGGAACCGAAGCTCTTCAGAGAAATTATAGTCACCGTACCATTGCCTCCCAAGCTGTTGAGCATCAACATACGATAGCGTGATGAACGTGACCTCGCGGTGACGGGGGTACACGTCTTTGAGAGCGACGGCGGCCCTGCTGGACCCACACTTAGCAGTTCATTCGTCTGTATCCTGCAATCATGGCGTCACTCTATGAACTGTTGGCATGCAAGTGGGCTACCATAGACAGCGAATGTAGTAGTAGAAACATGCGCACACCGTTTGATCTCGGGTGTTGCTGTGGGAGCTGCCAACTTTATGTTACATACAGGCACTCTAGAACGTGGTGCATGTTGATGGCATCGGTATGTGTTGGAGGTGCATGCTGGAGGTTGAATCGCGGGGAGACACACACGTAGTCAAGGCAAGTTTGCATCGTCCTTTGCGTTTGAAGTGCATGGTGAGAATCATCTTTTGTCTTATCCGGAGCTTTCACCCCCCCCCGTGCGGCACTTCCTTTGGGCTCGAAGTGGGAATTTGTACGTCATTCGTGGGTGACGGGTAAAGGCAGCACCTCCAACAGATCGGGACAGTATCGGCGGGCTTCCACGCACTAAATCGTCACGCGTGCACAGCGATGAAGCCTCGGCCGCCGTTCCGACACGCGCGAGCGATAGACAGGCCGTGTTGTGTTTGAAGCATAGTCAACAGTAGTGGGTCCGTTTGCGCAACGCATTGACCAGCTCTGCTATTTTTAGGTTCCAACCAATTCCACGCTCTAGCCGCCTACCACAGGCCACAAGGTCTAGTGCGCAACAGCTTTCTGTCGTTGGCATCGGAGCACCGAACGGCAAGTCGGCGGCAGTATGCTCTCCAGAAAGTACACGAATCAACGATGATTGCAAGAGAGGTTTGAGGGCAAATTGGGATTATTATTAAAGCAACTTCCCCAGCAACGACATTCACCGCTACAGATCATTTTGACGCTGGCGGCAGTCTCTAGACTATCCCTCCCGCGAGACGAAAATCGCGAGTGATTTGCTGATGCTCTGAGGCTCATTGCCGCTGATCGAACGCGAGGCGTGGGGAAGCTGTACCCCAAAACAAACTTTTAGAACTTGCGAAGGGTGCCGTTTGACGCTTGGGCGAGGCACGAATGAAAATTGAGCCCACAAGCGGGACCCTCGGTCCCAACGGCTTGCAACACGAAGACACTTGAATTTAACGATGAAAGAGAGGGCGGCACGCACCTCACACTCTATGTCGGAGTCAAGGTTCAGACACTCGAAGTTGGTGTCGAGGTGCAAATAAAAAGCCGGAAACCCGAATATATCCATCATTGAGACCACCCCAAGAGATCGATCTCCACACACCCCTGTGTCGCGCCTGAGGATGACAGACTATTTTAATAACCTTAACTGAAACTGCTTCACATAGTGGCACACCTTATTGTTGATAGGACGAAAAAAAAAGGATACACGTCCACGGAAAGGGCCACGACACCAATTGAAATACTGGTTGCACAACTTTACCGCCGTTGACAGCTGGCCTTATTTTCATTTTTCAAACTTTCTACAACCCCATCCTACCCGAAAACATGATACGGTGCGGGAGACAACCAGCGAGCCATCGAAATCGAGCGTGGCGCACATACTCTTCACTGCTGTGACTGTAACATGCGGCACTGCACGCACGGGAACACCCTCACCCCATTGGAGGCCTAACGGCTTCTCTACATCACACACAAGCAGTGGAGACACAGACTGACAGCACACGCGAGGTTTAAAAGGCCGCCTCCCTGTGATGACACACGATGGATACTCCCCCCCCACCGGCGTTAAAATACCCATCGCAAACGTGATTATGGCCAACCCGATTCGCCACGCGTAGTTCCCTAACCACACAGGAGTTCAAGGGTGCAAAAGTTACAAGTTCAACGTGGATAATCCAACACGACCTTAACCTCTTTCTCAGGCGTGAGTTCGACCCTCTTGCCGCCTTCCCGTGGGTAGTCGGCCTCTTCAATGGCATGCGGGCGCTCCACTCCATCGTCCCGCGGGTAGTCCAGCTCCTCTTCCTTGTACGTGGTTTCACCGGGGCCTTGGCCCCCGCCGCACCCGCAGCAGCAGCACGGACACACGGTCGCCTTCCCGTGCTTCCGGAACGCTACCTCCGCCCTCATCTGGGAGATGTGAAGGCACGGCATCAGGCACACGCTGCAGAAGCACATGAGCCTCGCGCCGATCATCTTGACAAAGCACCAGCCGAACTCGTCCGGATCCCACGAAACGAGGGGTAGGTTATATTTCTCCGCCACCAGCTCGCGCGTGTCGCCCACGCAGCACGGGCACCAGGCTCCAAGGCAGTACGGTGGGTAGCACATCCAGTTCTGGTCCGGGGCACAACGCGTGGAGATTTTTCGATGTGTGTTTTTAGGGGGGGGTGAGGGGTGTGAGGAAGGGCTAGCGTTTTGCACGTTTTGGTGGCCCAGCAGCGGCAGCATTAGACTAGCATGAGCGGACGGACTGTTGCCATCAACCAACGACAGCTGTTTTTCTGTTCAAGTTCGTCGGTAGTAACGCACACGCCATACTTCCGATAAGGCACCCGGGGAATCAACAGTTAGCTCTAAGCACGAGGATTGCCGGGGACACCATAAGCAGATGAAGCTAGAAAGATTGTCACCCAGGGACTCAAAGGCTTTCAAAGGTTCCTGCACGTACTATACTTCAAAAATGTTCAAGTGGATTATACTTATTTATTTGGCCATATGTATGAGCTACACTGTACATATCTTACCGGTTGTACAAGACATTTGGTTGATACCAACACTCGGGTTACTAGCGGCACCAGGACCGTACAGCACTTTCCCCCACTGTTGTCAACGGCTACTATGCGGTCTTGTACCTTACTTTATCCTACTGAGCACACTTCCGATTCGGGACTGAACAGATTGGTTCCTCTCGAGCCCAACCCGCGCAAACTTAAGCTGCCCCTGAGGTCTTTGCCTTTCCGAAATTTCGAAAAGAGGAGTCCGCAACTTCCTTGTCCCGGTACGGCAGTGGCACTCACGAACTCCGGAGCACTTCGACTGCCATACACCGGACTGTTGACAATCCGCATACGTCAACTCGGCGGTTGGTGATGTGCAAGAGGAGATCCCTTTCTTTGTTGTGACGGAAGAAATATGCATGTAAACAGTCTACTAGTTGTTGTTGTTGTTGTTGTTGTTGTTGTTGTTGTTGTTGTTTCTCACATTAGCTCTATAGTCCACCAAAAATGGGGAGCCCGTGGTCTCAAAACCCGGCACATACGACGCCGCGGGAAAACAAAAACCAAAAATAGGGTACAAACCACTCGGAAAAAGAAAACAAAAATGAAAAAACGAAAAGAACAGGTATCGCACCGACCGTTCGAGAAAAGAGCTCTCGGAAACCGGTCAAAATAAACTATCGAACTTGTGGAGGTGGAGATTCCAAGAACGGACGGACTGCTGCGGCGATAATGGGATGATGCGAGCAGCCGTGTTGAAAAGCTCTCACCTCACGAAGGTAGCAGCCGATGTCTCCCATAGCGCAGCAGCAGCAGAACAGGGAGTAGAGCATGATGTTCGGGTTTCGACAGGGACAAAGAGAGTGCTTCCGAGCCAATACAGCAAGCGGGAAAAAGGGACAGGAACAGGGCGGCAAGAGCCCGATCAAAAATCGATCTCATACCGCGTAAAGCGTTTGCTGCTACTGCTACTGCTGTGCACGCCGCCGCGACGTTTGAAGCGGATGCATGCGCCAACAGCAGAGCAGCCCATCAGAGTTTCATCGGCGGAACAACATTGTGCATACGACACCGCAGAAATGGCCCAACCCTTCATTCGAGCAGATCTTCGCGACCCCCTATTCATCCTGCTGTAGTCTACACTGGTGCCACCCGTTATTGAGCTGATGTTTTCCACGGCTAATCGTTGTGCGTAGCAGCAGCATCAGTGCGTTGCATGAACACTCTGAAGCATCTGCTAAAGGACGATCGTGTTATACCGCCTACTTGCTGCACCTGGTGCCATCGTCCCAACGGGGGATTAAGCTTCTCCTCAAAATTTTCTCCCTCGCCCTCCTCATCTCTGATGATGGAGCGTCGCCTGGGTGCAAGCACTATCGTCCCTTGCGATGGTCTGCGGGGGGGAGGCTCCCACCTGGAGTTTTCGTTCGTTGGGTATGACATCACCGCCCTCCCTGCTGGTGCTCCTGCGTTGGTTGGTCGGTCTCTCTGTGGCGAGATGGTGTAACCATGACATACGCAGAACAAGCTTTGTGCTATTGCGCCGCATATCATTCTGCGGGGCCCCTACATTGGTGCGGCCCATGAGCGTGGTGCCGCTGCTGTGTACACAGCAGTTGTACTACGCTGTTTACTGGGGCCGCGGTACATAGCGTAGACGACGCACGACGCACTCGGTGCTCAGGGAAACAGGCACTTTAGCCTCAGGATGGGAAGTACCACCATGTACCAGCAAGGGGTGGAAGAGATACTAAAAGGCTACGCGGCTGGGATTGATGAGGGTCTCGTGGCAGTCTTGAGCGCGATCGCAAAATCCACGGGTTCGATCGGAGAACACTTGAAGTGAGAGACAACGCTACACGAGTGTAGTTTGGTGGCCTATGCATCGTTGTCGTTGAGTCGTCTAGGAACTAGCCTTGCACCGACTGCTGACAATTAGCCTGGGATTCGATGAGTATCGGCAATATTGTGGCTCTTGGTTGTATCTCGACATGCGCACACGTTGCCTCTCTCTGTTTAAGATAAACATGTGCCTTGGGCGGGCACGTGAGACACAGCACGAGGTGTGTGGTTTAGTGGTTGAGAACACAGGAATGGATTTACATATCTCTACTGCACATTATGTTTTGGCACCCCCGTGCACTTCTCCGAGCTGGGAACTTGATGCTCGCAGCTCGGTAAGCCCCGTCCCGATGTTTGCGGTACGTAGACTTTAGATACCGTTGTAGCCGTATTCCATTTCACCGCACTTGTAACCCATTGACCCGTTTCCCCGACGGATAACCCACACCCTTCAACCTCCCCCCGCACCCCGACTCACGAAAAAGATTAGCCAACGGAGCTTCCAAGGCGGGCACGGACAATGCTTTCGGGGATGAGCAGCTGGACGTTGATCTCGCCGCTGATGAGATCATATTTCAAGAGTTCAAGGTGAGCAAGTACTGGCTGTGCAAATTTGTATTATGTGTTGCCTGGTGTCAGTAGATATTTGCGACACACACACGATGAAGACCGATGGCTCGGCTACTTGCGGTAGTAACGCTCAAAGGGATTCGCTGAAGGTGAAGATTCGGTGCTACCTGCCGGATGATAGACCTTCCTGGGTGTGTGAAACCTCTGTTCACTGACGCTGAGTTATCGGCGACGCCGAAATTTTGTTCGTTCGTTCTGTACGGGCCAGTCCGTCGGCTTTCATGGTTGATTACGTTACTCGGTGGCTCGTGTTCGTAATATTCACCGGTAATGTGGCGCACGTTGAAGGCAATATTATATGATAGTATTTCCATGTATCCCTGGGCGCTGGTGGTGTCTCACTGAATGCACCGTGGGTTCCTCACCAGCAGTAGCCCCTAGGATGCGTTTATTCAGCCGACCGGTGTTGGCGAACCCAGCGCCCATCAAGTAATTCTTATCTCCAAGAACGTTTAGGCCACAATTCCTTTGTCTCCACTCGACCATGCTCGGCAATATCAATGGGGTGCCCACCCCACAACTGTCGAAAAACAACCATCAACCAGCAGCGATTGTAAACTACACTGCTGTGACGGAATCGAGTTCTCGATCCGAGGTGGCGAGTACCACTCCTGTATGCCGTCGATTTTCAATCTCGAGCCTCCGCCGTGTTTGCATTCGAACCGCGTTTGCTTGTGGTTCAAGCGCTGTGGGCACCAGACTCCCCGCTAGCGAGGACACAGGCCACGTGTTTTGGAGGCCACGTCATTGCCCTGTGACCCCCTCTGCCCCGATCCTTCACTGGGTATACTGCAACACGCTCTGAGGTTGTGTTGGTAGATTCAAACGCTGCGCTTCCTTTGGTTCTTTCAAGACTAAAGTTAACAGCGCCACTTTCGTTTTTGGATTTTGTGTTCGTTTTTGTGGCCCTTGTTGACATTTTTTTTTTCTGGCAAGGCATGCGCAGAACGTACTGCCAGTTCATCAGGAGCACGAGTTAAATTTCACGGCACATCCGTTGACCGTTGGGTGTGGCGTTTCATGCCGCCGACCAAGACGGCCAACAACGGCGACAAGCAAACAGACAGACCCAAACCTTACCTTCACACCTCCCTCCTGTGTGGCCCTGAGCGCCCAGACAAATCGAACAATGGTATCAAAACTGCCGTCCAGAGGAGATGGGATTCAACACACACACAAACGAGAGTGGTTGGGTCTCATTCCCTATCATTTTTTGTGGTGCCAGTAGTTACTCCGCTTGTCCCCATCGTTCTCGTTGTTAGGGGATCTCTCATCATTTCCTCCGCTCCTCTGTATGTATCTCGTGCGGTCGGGGTGGTGGTGTTGGTGTACCCGCTTGAAACAGAGCTGTGGCGCCGTCGCCGTCGCTGCCTCGGAAGAGAAACCGGTGGAGGCGCCCATGGGAGGCTCTACTGAACGGTGCGTACTATTGTGGGACGGTCCCGATATACCGTATCATACCCGGTGTAGTCACAGGCAAGCATCACCGCGGTATATCGGGGCACCGCACGATTGGGTGTTGGAGAATATGTAGCTTTTAGTATTGTAGCCAAATCCCGTGACAAGCGAGTTTTACCGCGGTGGAGTGTGGGGGGAACATGTAGCTTTTAAACTAGTGGTGTAGCCAAATTCCGTGACAAGCGAGTTTTACCGCGGTACATCGGGACCACCAGTGTACTGAAAGTCGCGCAGCTTTTCTGCCGCCCGCAGCTTCGCGTCTGTGTGTGTTTCGTTTTTCGGTTGTTCTGCCCTTCTCTTGCCTCCCCCCCATATGCACGGTTCAACTCAAACGAAAGGTGCTAGCTTCGAGGTGCCATGAGCTAAAGCAGCATCCGGCGTTGAAGAAAAATGAGCGCTTGTTGTACTGCATTGTCTGTCCCATTCTCTGCCTTCTCTCTCTCCTCTCCATGTCTCTGTCTTTGCCACTGTCTGTCTGTCTGCCTATCTCCTCTCTCTTCTCTCTCTCTCTCTCTCTCTCTCTCTCTTCTCTCTCTAGGGTACGCTTCATGTGTTGTTGCGTCTTTTCGAGATTAGTCTTCCCCGCTTTTTCCTGGCAACCGCACTTGTTGACTGGGTACCGCCATCGTGTTCAAGACACTATTCAAGTAATGGATACCTGTGGCAATGGTGCCGTTTCGTAGGACCGCCGCGTGACTCGGTAGTATCCCTATGTCTGCACACACACATCAAGACGATGAACACACAATCGGGTGTCTTGGGATCGGCTGCTTGATGAACTTTTATCACCCTCGACTCTATGTATACAAAACCATGACGATAGTACAGCAGCAACATTACCTCTTTGAGGGGCCACCGACAAACTACATACTTGAAGTTTTGATAGGAGGGTGAATGTTGGTGTTGAGATGTACCACTGCTGTGGTACGACAGGACCATAGTTCCGGTCTTTCTTCGACCACCCCCCCCCATCCCCTCGATAGACCATTTCCCCGAGGTGTTTGCCCTGCATTTGGGATTTTGTTATTATCTTCACTTTGAAAACCGTCCAGACCTCCATCCAGTACCTCTCCCGCATTAGACTGTACCCCAATCGGTACTGAAAAAGTTTCCGTGCCCGCAATGTTTCCCAAGAAAGGTACCCCTCTTCTTCACTAAAACCCCCATCGGTGCTGAAACAAGTAGCCATGGTTGCAGTCGTGCCCAAAAAAGGTAACTGCAACCCACGGGAAGACTCCGAGAATTCTCCCCACTCGAAGGAACACAAGATTTTAGACACAACAGTTCAGAACGACGAAAGAAGGGTGACGTTCTAGGCTGCAGAAGCACCTTCGAGAAGGAGAGTGGCAGCGAGTTTTTCCCCTGGTGTGAGGTCATGCGATCTGTCGCCTGGCCCCTGGAGCTGTCATGTCCCAAGAACCAATCAACGTTTTTTTTGCTTTCACGAAAATGTGGATTGCAGAAGCCGAAATCAATCCATTAGACTAGTCAGCGCTGACCGGTCTAATGGTTTGATATCAGCTTGTAATGGTTTGATGTCAGCTCCTATAGGATAAAGCAGAACAACAATCTACACCCTCGTGTGTGTGCAGTCTGTTGCAGCTCTGGAACAGGCATGACATCCAAGTCTTGGATGCATGTGATGGCGCGGAGCACATTCTTGTTTGGCCCAGGAAAATGTAGCTATCCTCTGTCCGTTCGACAACACGCCGCATTTCGGTTACGCCGCAGGCTCTATTCGGTGGGGTTCGATCCATTGGACGGCTCCTCGATCATCGATGCCAATTTCGCCGTGGGTTCGATCTTCGGAGTCTGGCCGGGGGACAAGCTGCTCGGTAGAACCGGCAGGCAACAGGTACCTGAAGGGCTGTAAGTTTGCTGTGGTGGATGTTTATGTTGAGCTGCAGTCGTTGATGTTGCTGTTCTTATTGTTGTTGCAATTGTTGTGGCTGCTGCTGCTGCTGCTGCCGCGGCGGCGGTGGCTGTGTTGTTGTGATTGACTCCAACAATCTCCGTCGGCGTAATTTTTTTCGAACTGCGCCGATTTGTTTGTCTTTGTACCGACTTGCAGCTGTAGGGTTTCGTCTTTTTGGTACATAAGAGTAGGCGCGTAACCCCCGCCATTTTGACGGGATCGACCTCGCTCGAGGCCACCCTAAGAGGGAAAGTACAAATGTCTGCAGGGCAAGTTGCGTCGTTCCTGCGTGTGCACCAAAGCTTAGACTCCTCCATGCGCCATCTCCGCCGGCAGTGTATACTACTGCCCGTTCCTGTGACCTACGATTCATGAAATCTTGCAGCGGCTTACCGAATGGTACGTTTGCCCCCAACCCAACTACATGAATAGCTCGAAGGATAACTACACGTAGAATAGTATACGAAGGAGGGTGGCGAAGATGGACAGAAGTCGTTAACAGGTGGTACGATGATATTGTGTGCTGTCGTTCCCGGCTTCATCCCCAGGTGGCTTCGTGCATGAGCCAGTACGGTCCGAGGACGACAATGGCTGTGGCGCTTTCCGCTGTCACCACGGGGGGGGATGCCGTCGCCTTCGAGGTGTGATAATAAACCATACAATAAGGGCTCGTCGGAAAAAGACGCATCCCGCGCGACACTAAGCCTCGATGTCGTAAGAGTCGGAGAGATGGCACCACCGTGTCAGCTATGTTTTTTGCGTCTTTCTCTACAATTAGGAGAGTGCGAACACCACCCGATACCTCGCAGGAAAGCCCTCGACGAGACATTTCAAAAACTAACCTTTTCGGCAGTGGTACAGTACCCCCCTGGTTGTGGAGAAATATGCTATTAATAATACTAAACGCTAACACGCGGATGCCATCTCTCCAACGTTTGCGGTAGGCCCTGTTGGTTCCCCCACAGAAGATCCGAAACGCCTGCGTTGAAGAGAATAAGAAAAGCAGTTCTTCGTTGTAGGTGCCATGTGTTGCACCTTACCATCTGCCTTTCATTTTATGTGCGTGTTTTCCACCAGCTAACCTTCCAGTCCGATGCTCAGCGGTGGGTGGTCACACGCGAGAAGTTCGACATCGCACCAGCAGGAAAGGTACGTCAGGCTATGTTTGGTACGTCAGGTTATGTTTGCTGCTGCCCCAAAGGCATGTATACGCGGACCATAGTTTGGACGTGGCTACAGGCAGATGGTGGTTTTGATGGTTGGATGCAGGCCGTGTTCCCTCGAGCGCGGATCATACATTGGGGGATGCAGATGATGGACAGATCCGACCATTTTGGTGATGGATGCAGCCGAGACAAAGGACAAGATATGCACGTGACGATATTGTTGATTTATGGAGAACTATTTGTTGCAGCACTAGATTCGTTGTTGGCAGAAATACGCCATGTTGGCTTTGCCACAATGTTCACGTGCGGTGGGTATCGAGAAACAACCGATCAAAGATCTCTCTGTCTGTGTGCATCTCGCCTGCCATATCTATCATGTGGCCACTCCGTTTGTCCCAACTACCTTGCGCCTTGTTTTAAACATCACGCAACATTCTTGTTTGTGAGTGATTCCAACTGCAGCTTCTATCTGCATCACGATGCCGCCCGCCACACTGATTGATTGTTCTGTGTCGAGTTGTCTTGATGTTTTGGCTCGCCAACGTTTAAGACAAAATGTATAGATACAAACATACGAATACCCGTTCGAGACATGAAACCACAGTTGAAAAGGATGCGTTCAAGTCTTTACCGTGAGTGGAAGAAGAACCGACTGGATATTTGACTTTACAGTAGTGGTCCCGATATTATGTGGCATCCCGAATAGTGAAATGCCCGATATTGTGACATCAATAATATCTCTTGTCGCAATCTCAAAATGTACATGAACCGATATATCGAATAGTGGCACTGCCCTGAATAGTGGTAATATCGGGACCACCGCTATTTTGTCCCTCGTGATTGATGTGTACCCTCGTACTACAGGTCTTCGCGCCTGGCAACTTGCGGGCGACGGCGGACCAGCCGGCTTACAAGCGGCTTTTCGATCACTGGGTCGACAACAGGTGGGGGTTTCAATGTCGCCGAGGCGTTGGTCGTTTCCCTCCTCCTTTGCCGATTTTTTTTTTCGTTCGTTGCGCAACAAAACAACAAGGTGAGAAAATTGTTCGATTCAAGATGGACGAAATTTCCAAGGTTTGATCGCCTGGGCGGCTCGAGATTCGGCTATCGTACGTTGGACGTAATCCTTCAAGCAGCTGTGTTGTGTGTGTTGCCGGCTAGCCGTTGAATCGAGGCACTAGCGGTTGGTTCTTGTGATCAAGAAGTTTGACCAAGCAACTTCATGGTTGCCTGCCATGCAATGTAAGTTGAGCTGCTGGTCTGTCGTCCAAGGCCGGGTTTGGAGGTGCGACGAAGAAAAGCACCTGAAATATGGGTCGCGAGCTTTTTTCTCCACTCCCCACCCCTACCCCCTTTGAAAACGCGTGCCGCATTGTTTTCGATAGATCATTTTACAGTATACATGTATTCGTGTTGTGCCGCACTGCTGTGCTACTCTGAGCAGCCTCATTGGTGTGTTTGCGTTTGCAAAAACGCGAAAAGGTACACGCTGAGATATACCGGGGGCATGGTGCCAGACGTGTACCACATCCTGATCAAGAACAAAGGGGTGTTCAGCAACGTCTCCAGCGCAGCCGCTAAGGCGAAGCTCCGGCTTCTGTACGAGTGTGCCCCGATCGCCCTTCTTATCGAGGCCGCCGGAGGAGCCAGGTGAAGGGGGAGCGTGCACTACAGTAGGTTTTTGTCGCAGGGTGTACGATGTTAAAGGCTAGAGAAATCAGTTCCTTGCCAACGGTGCCCGGTGCCTCTGACGCCCGCCCGCCTCCCGCTTGTTTCGATTGAGGCGCACTGCTACTGTTGTTCTCGACGCTTGTTCACGATTTCTGGGAAGGCGGTCTTACGGGCTTAACTTCTTGTTTCGGTGCTGTGCGTCACCGTAGCCTTCGGCGGAGGCGCTTCTCTTGTCACTATTGAGGCCAATTTCCATCCCGGTGAAAAGGAACACCTATCGCAGTCAAGCCCAGGCGCCTGCGTCTTGTCATTCGGAGATATTTTATTCTCCATTCACAGCAGTTTTTTGGTGCTGTCTGCCGATGTTGCCCTGGCATCAAGAGACGGCCTCTAGACAGAAATTAACTCCCTCGTGCCCGTTCCGATGCGACGCACGCGGCGTTCTCTGTTGTGTTGTTTTTTTCAGCGTTATGGCCCCTTCCCCGGGGGCAGCATCGGGAGGGACTCCGCTGTCGGTGCTGGATGTGGAGATCGACAACCTGGACAAGCGGCTAGGGCTCTGCTTAGGGGGGAAAGAAGAAGTGGATGTGTTTAATCGCTTTATGTTCGGCTAGTTTGATCTTGGGGGGGGTGGTTGGGGCATTGATCCTTGCGGGGGGGGGGACAGTACAAGTGTGAACTCGTACGCTTTACAGGACAGCGATGTAAATACGCAAGCGTTGCTTTCAAGGGAACCGGAGTGCAAACGTCACTCATTACGGCTGACTTCACCTACAACACAAAAGGTGTGTCGAGCGAACTTTAAGACGTTTGAGGTGATTGCCTACTTGGGATAATAACGTGGTTCTCGGCACGGACGGACAGGTGAAGAGGCGGGCGCGACACGTGGCAATGCCCTGCATGCACGTACAGTATGAGCGGTTCCATGGAATTGACGATGTCAACCTCGAGGCGTCGTCTCTTTTTCTCCACGGTTGGATGGTAACCCGCTGACTTATTGCTAGGTGTCTCTTGCCCGAANTTCGCGCCGTTCTCGCCGCCGCCGTCAGAGAAGGTGCTCGGGCCGGTGGTGTTGTCGGTGCCGCCGACGGCAGACAAGGACCTCGAGAACGAAGCAGACGTCGAGGGAAGGTATGTAATAGTATCAGTAGCCTTCGCAGCGTTTCGAACAGTGAGTTGTTGTTGTTGTCTTCACATTAAAACCGTTCCGTTCTCTCTGCCCGGTACCTTCTTCTGTCCGTACTTACAGTCTAACACTTGATGAGGTCGATTCCCGTGGTCACAGGCTAACTTACCCAAAAAAGGTATAACAAGTGAGTAGGTTGGATGAAGCGGTTCGTAAGGCCACTTGTAACGCTGTCTCTTTTTGGGCTGTCCCTTTTCTCAAAAAGGGACAACTGACCAAAAACCACTTGTTACGTGGTCTTTTTTTGCGTTTTTGAACCTCCCGAAAAGGGACAGCGAAAGAAGATCACCCCATCCTGTCCCTTTTTGGGCAACTTTGTCCCTTCCTGAGAAAAGGGACAGCCCAAAAAGAGACAGCGTAACAAGTGGCCTTAGTCTCGTCAATTTCCAAGTTGACATGCTGTGCAAGGTAGTCGGGCTGGCCATGCCTCCCACGCGTGCGAGTGCTGTGTTTCATGAAGACTTCGTTTACGGATCGCGGATCAGGCCCATCGAACTTGACATGCCGTCTAACGCGAGTATTTGCTTAGACGGGGGCGGTTTCATCTCGTTTCTCAGGCCAGGTACCTCGCAATCGAATAAGGTGGTCATCGACAATCTCCTTTGATTTCACAGCGCATGAGTTTCCAGCAGCCAATCGCATGCGATGGACCCCATGTGTGTTGATCGGAAATGGTGCTTGGAACCGAATATGAAGAGAACGGTGAATGGGTGGAGCCCATCGAAGAAAGAAGCGAGGAAATATTGAGAACAAAAAAAGTAGTGGGCCAAGGTGAGGTGAGCGCAAAGCCGGTCTCTGGTCTAGACTACAGGTAGGCTTCGTTTTGATATTCAACCACAAATCTCCCCGCCAAACGCGACGGAGCCGGCTGTTGTTGATTTTGTGGATCCCTCCGCAGCCGCATTGGACGTACGCCTGTACTATTATCCTCGTGTAGCGCAAGGAGATATCCCGCCTGTCGGTAACAGGCTCAACAAGACGTTGTATTCGTTGGTTGGCACACATGATTGAGCGAGCCCGCGGCGGAATTACATGAGAGGAAGAGAACCCCCGAAAAAGTGGTTCTACCGCGTTTCTGAACCGGCACTTGTACGCTACACTGCTACCCTCGCCGCGCACCGAGCACCGCGCCCGCGCCACCACGCCACCGCGTTACTATTTTAGCAGTTGACCTACTGGTAGGTCAAGCACATGGGGTTTGATACAACAATACAGCAAGATACAGCAGTAGTTCCCAGGCAGTCAGTAATTCTACTGAGTTTGCTCGCCCTACAGCTGTAGGAAAATAGAAAACCGCGAAGACCGCAATGAAGCCGTCCCAGCTGGCGGTCGATCAAGCAGCAGGTGCAGGCGATATCGAGGTAAATGCCACCTTGCACTTCCCACTAACGAGGGGCGGTGGAGGTATCGTTCGCGGTGCTAGTCGTCCCGTCAGCAGGAATAAGAACAGGCGAGAATGGATAAGCTACCGCGAAAACTGTTTGTATGTACACTACAGTACACAGATGTATTTGATCGATGTGTACACGGCACAGCAGCAGTGTAGGTAGATTAGTCTGTGTGGTGTAAAACTGAATCGTCGTCTACTCTGTATACTACTGTACCACTGACACCAACAACTTATTTGAGTTTTTCTTTGATGTGATGCTTCCTACTACGTCAACAACCACTGCAGGCGTTGAATTTGCTATGGGACGAAAGCAACGGAACATTGTTCCCACGGGCAGCAGGCTTGCAAATGGCTGCGGCGGCCGGCAAGGTACAGTGGTCGGCTTCCAGGCCGGCAGCTGTGCTTGTGGGCCGACTTTGACTGTTCAGTAGTCGGTATCGCGAGTCCACGATGAACCCAAAGTCCAGTATCCAGCAGGTGCCGTTCAACCTTCCTTGTGAAGACTGCATTCAACACTACAACATGTTGCGAGTTATTTCGAACGGGTACGAGCCCCTTTGTGTTCATTCGTATGGTTTCTACAAGTAGAGGCAACTCCTCTTCTTGAGGGTGTACATATTTATGTACTTCTAGAATGAAAGTGGAAAGGCGTGGTTGGTACCACAAAGAAACTACAGCATCGAGTTTCACGAACGAGGAATGCGTGCGCATGCGTTACCACTTCTCGTGCCTGTATTTTCCGTGTGGAGGAAACCCTCATTCTCCATGTACGATGACAATACGAGTCAACGGTTGAGCTGTAGTTTCGAACTCACAGCAGCGGCAGTGCAACCCATCGAAACCTCAGGGCGTTGAAGCGCTTGACAGATTCACCGTGGAATACCGTAGGCATGCCGTAGCACACGCCGGTTCTTTGTCGTAACGCTACATTCCTAGCCGACTCTTGCGTTTGTCAACTTCCCGATTCATGGCACAAGGTTCCCGCATACCAAACACCATCCTTTTGGCGAAAAATATTTATTCTGCACCAAGACGTAGCCGGTCGATGTCGTGGGGATGTCAGTAGTGACATGTTTCCAGCAGCGGAGGTCTCTGTAGCGAAAGCAGATGAACGCTTGACACTTTACAACGTGGTTTCACCGTTTTCACGCGCGACGTGCTGATGCTGCCACTTTGGGGCAGATTTGCACCCTTGAGTGGGCCAACTCGCGAGGGTTGCCAGGCTTTCGGGGGCTCATGGACATCGCGGCTTGGAAGGGCAGGTACGAGGGTATTCATGTATCATGTGATTGTGTTACTTGTTGTCGTTGTTTCTGTTGACAGCGGCTGGAGTTGCTGCCTCTCACATGCAGACATGTCTTCTTCATCATCAACGTATACAATACCATAACATATGTGCATCATGGACTTTAGCAAGCAAGCCGCCGCTGACGATATTGACAGGTTGTCCGTGCTGAAGTGGCTTCAAGCGTTTAGAAACGAAGGGTGCACCACCAAAGCGACCACCTGGGCAGCTCAAAGGTGACCGCTCGCCAGTAGTACCTTCCCAAATCGTACATCGGTTTCCACATAACCCATGTTTCGACGTGTTGCACCCAATAAAACTCTGTTGGTGGGGTAGGTTATTTTCTTTTCACAACCGCGACTCAAACCCTGTTAGCTTCATGAAGTGATTGGCTAGGCCCCCAAACACGGCTGCCGGTGGCAGTGAAGCCAGAGAGTTCCGCCTAGACCGCACCGCCAACTTCAAAATCGGAGACATTATATCCCAGCAACGAATCGGAGCTAATCCAATATGTTACGCCCAAAGCGCTACTCTCATCCACTATCTGTCGTTGGCTCTAAAGTCCACAGACACAGTTGATAGATTAGTTCTTGTGGCCAGTAGAATTCTTGGCCTGCCAGCACAACCGATCAGGACCTAAACTTCGGGAATTCGACCTCCCACGGCAGTGGCCATCTGAAGGTTCTCAGATGGCTGCGACATGGTCTTGGTCAAGAGTGCACGACCGACGCACTGGAGGCAGCCGCAACGGCGGGGCGAGTCCGTGTCGTCGCATGGTTCCTGCGAAACAGGTGAAAAGAGGACAGGAGTCTACAAAGATCCGCACGGTAGGTCCCGCCACACCCATCCCAGCGGTGTCGTTGGCCGATGGTCCTCTCGTACTGTAAACGCTTCGCTCTTTTCATGCACGCTGTGAAAATATTGTACAAAATAACCCGAGTCCCGCAAGTCATAAACTTGGAGGGACAGAGATTTCCATAGACTCTGAGATACCGAAGTTTTCGTTCACAAGGTGGTCATCGAAACAAATCGTGTGCTGACTGCTTGCCCTGCCCCTAGCGAAGCTGCACCGACTTCCCTCCCCTCTCCTAAAGGCTGGACACCTTTCTGGCAGCACGCAGTCTCTAGGTGTTGCGATGATCTAACGACTACGCTCGGTTTCGTTGGTGACTTCTTATGAGGCGTCATGGATCTTTTGGAGCGTATCGTTGCTTTGCGGGAGGCTCGTCACTTGTGTTTTGCTTGACTTCGTTCAACTCAGTACAGGAAAAGCAATCCCCAGGTTTGACTCTAGAAAAAGCAATCGACGCTGTACATATCAGGCAACAGGTTCTGGGATACGTTATCCGCATTTTCTACTTGATGTCTTGACTACGGCCAGCTTGTCGTACGTGTACGGTAACACACCGGCAGCGGCGACCAACAGGTTTCCACGACACCGGCGGTTGTTGGGGCGGCGTCGAAAGGGCATGCGGACGTGCTGAAGCTGTTGTTATCATCATCCCGAGAAGAGGTGCGGCAGCAATTTGAGGGCTTCGTTGATGCAGCAACGACGTGTTTTTCATGAAATGCTTGTCGTGGAGTGATCCCTGCTGCTTGACAGAAACACCTGGACTATTTTGAGGTGCCAACAATTGGTGAGTTCGACCACAGTACGTCTATACCTCCACGCTGTGGATGATCTATCACCACAACTTCTCCTGAAGTTGTCAAACTTGTAAGTCGCAATAAACGCGTCGACGGTAATCCCGGAGTACCACCATGCGGTCATTGAGAAGATCCATGACCTCCCTCGTGCTCTCTAACCAGTCCCGCCTCGACCTAAGTGTATGTTCGGTTTTGGGCGATCAGGCAGAAAAGTCCGAGTGGGCGATTGCCTTGGCGAGTAGCGGGAACCACTCCGAATGTGTCGAGCTCCTCGAGGAGGCGGGATGGCCCACGAGACCCGCTCTTGCCAGTGCCGGAAACGGAAGCGAATCGTCATATAAAGGCGACGAATGCCCAGGAGAGGAGCCTTGTCGAATCGAGGAGAGCAAGAAGGAGCCCAGCAGTCTATCTGACGGGAAGAATGGTTGGATGGCGCAATATGCCCAGGTATGAAGGACAAAAAAGCAGCGTGAACAGTTCGTTACGTAGAGAGGGCGAAACCAGGGAAGCCTGTTGAACGTTCCGAGCGGAGGGCCAGTAGAGAATCGACGTCACTACCGTGTGGCAGCGGAAATCGTTGTTGCAGCGCGTCACGCGTTTGATAGAGACCCTCCGACATAACTACAGCGATCTGATCGACACGACTCCCCGCAGAAGCCACACCGGCCAGGATCAGTCAGTCGTGACAGAGAAGACACCAGGGGCCGACGGCACTCGAGCTTGCTACACCCGAACCCCTTCGCCCTACGGCGACACCGCCTCTCACAGAGAAGGCCCTCAGCGAAAGAAGATCCGATGTTTGGTCAAGGGGGAGGTCGACGGGTGCTATCCGTAGACGTGGTGCTGCCGGGTCCAGACTCCAAAGGAAAGGCGGAGTTCTTCGAACTGTTTGGACCTCACACGCCGCGACCACCGCCGTCGGTCGTCCGCGCCGGAGAGAGGGGTGGCAGAAGGTGCCTAAGATCGACCTTCTTTGGGCGCCCAAACACCGCATCATCGGCTCTAAGAAGAGGGCGCGCGGACATCGTACGAGATGCGGAAGGGTTCTTTGGGGCGGATTGGGCGGAGTGGGAGAGGGACTGGCCGGCGGTTGGTGTTATCGACCACGACGACGACGAGGAAGACTGCGGCTGCGATGAATGCCGCTTGGTTGCGTTTCTCCAAGCGACAGAGCCGCTTGCGGTCGGCGAAAAACCTAGAGTGCGGGATGTCTGGACGCCGGTTTCAGCGGACGTCCCCGAGGTAACAAGCGCTCTCCCTCGCTCTCTGTTCGCAGTATCATCGTTCTTCAAGTCCATAGTCTTCCAGACGTGGTTATATCTCTCTTTTAATCAGGACAGATACCTCTCACCTGAGCACAGAGCATAAGCCATGTCTGTGGAGATCGATCATGCAGAACAATCAAGCAATGGTGGCACGACTTCAAGCGGTGATTGGCGACGTCCAACAGCAGTCACAGGGTTCCTCATAAGCTCCGTAATCAGCATATCAGGCTCAGCACTCACAAGGGTTGGCAGTTGGTCAGGCACAGGGCAAGGATATGGCTCAGTTTCTCTCGCGTGATCGGCGGTGGTAACTAACCACCTGGGTGTTGATCGGGAAAGCACGCCGAGGGAGGCGGTGCAATCCCGGGGGTCAGGGGACATGCCCTGAACCCTTCCAACAGGCTGGACCGGGGGAACATTATAGGTCTGTTCGGATCCCCGGTCATGACAGCCCGTGCCCTCCGGATACTTCGCGACCATAGCGAAGTATCCATCATCGTATTAAGAACCGGTTGGGACGTCCGGCCGGAACAATAGCAGAAGCATTCCGAAAGGGACTCATTATCAAAATCAACTCCTTTGTTGCGTGTGGGCGCGCCAAAATCCTCAACCCAGCACTCGCGTTTTGCTGAGGCTGGACTGGGTTTGTCGGATCTACTCATACCGACAGCTCACTTTTTGTTTCAGCGACATTCGTGACGTTTGTGCCTTTGTCCTCAAGTGTGGCTCGAGGAGGCTTTTATGTCCTTCCACGTACGTTGCCTCAGGAGTAGTGTCCTTTAGCAAGAGCTTTCGGGAGGTCTGGTGTAGACGTGCCCCTACGGCTTTCGGTTTTGATGACTGTAGGGCGGTTTGTGCCCGGAGGGGCCAAGCAGTGAATTGCAGCTTCACCACTGCCAGGAGTAGCGGCGAACCGGCCCACACCTGTCACCATAACACCAGTCACACAGCAGTAGTTGTTACGGCTTAGGCCGCGTGCTGCAGCCAACAGCCTCTTTCCACACGGTCCCACTGCTCCTGCTGCCCACTATTTACCATGTGCAGGCACCACGTCTTAACCTCGGAGTGCTGACCAAAGAATCCCAAGACACGGTAATTTCGGCGTACATCTCGGGCTTGCTCCGCGGCCCTATGGGTCCTCCCGCCGCCGGCGGGGGGGCCCGCTACCGCGCTCAAAAAAAAACGACTCCTCGCCGCAACAACTGCAACGGCGGGTCGGGTGAGAGGGAAACCGGGCCCCTCTCCGCTGCTCGCCTGCTCCAGTTCCAGACGGTCGTCAGGCCTGCGACAGCGGCGTCTTCGTTTCTACAATCGTCGCCGTCGGGGGTCCCGGTGGGGACGCCGTCTGCCGATCACCGGGACCTCGCGGTGACCACCGCGAACGTTGCCACCGCTGGAACAGCCGTTCATCGATCGCCGCTTCGGAGGCGTAGGCGCTCCCCCCCAAGACAGGAGCAAATTCAAGGACAGTGGCTGAAGCAGCAACGCGCGGACTACGACACTTTTCCCACTCGTGCTCCAACAGCTCCAAGCGTCACTTCGACGGCCGCAAGGGTGATTTCAACACCAGAGAGACGTGGGGGCGTGAGAACGGCGCCTAGTGTCCCAAAGACGCCAACTCGAGCAAATTCAAGCGATGATATTGATTTTCCTCACAGAACTTGCGGATTGTGCGAAGAGCGAAACGCGCCGTCGTTCGTATGTCGGGGCTGGGGTAAGCCGCCAACAAGCCCGTCACCAATCACAGGGGAAGCAGCCGCTTCACGCCTAGCAATGCGGCGGATCGTAAACATCTTAGGGGGTGAGCCGCAGTCTCCTCGACTGGACGACGTGCCTCACGGGCTCGAAGGACGCGCAGCCGGTGTCCGCCCGGAAGTCCACGAGAAACCAACACCACCGGCACGAAGTATGTTTTTGACGAGGCAGCATAGGCGCGGAGAAGCGATGGCTCCGCCCGCGTGAACAGCTTTACTGCTGTTGCCGCACAAAAAAAAAAAAGCGAGTGTCTGGGTGGTTTGAATGTACGCAGCTACGGCGTGTAGTGAAAGGTGGTGAAAAGGATAGTAGGTAAATCTCGCACGGGAGCTGGATCTTAGGTTGGGTTGACCTCTCTTGGGCCTCATGATACGTGGTATGTGAATAGAATAGATGGAGGCGTTGGCTTGCTGTAGCTTTTGGGTATGGCTGGATAATGCTGGACATTAAATCGATCGGCTTAGAAATGGTCGTGCTTGAATTCAAGATACCGTCATCGAAAGAGACGACCTCCGTAATCAAGCCAATGAAGTTTCAGGTTCGACTTGACCGCGGTCTAATCGTCCCCTCCAACGAACCTTGGCAGGATGGTGAGCTACTTTGCCGGATCCTGACAATGATGTACGTTCCCGCAAAGAGCCTTGACACTCCTACCTTCAACCAGTCGTCGCCATAGTTTCCCGGCGACAGACACGGCAGCGGTGCAGGGTACCACCGTCGTCGCCATTGGGGATAACTCTTGCAACCAAGAGCTGTCGCCTGTGCCTTTGCTCGGATCATCCAAACCCAAAAAAATCGACCAATCCCTAAATTTCGCGCGCCCTTCTCCACAAAATCCATTCAGAGCCACCGCAATTGAGCGCCATACGACTCGAACTATACCGGAGGTGCCTTTCGAGAAGATGCAACAGAACTCCCATCCCTAGCTACCGTTGACGACCAGCTTTTCGTGGGGCTAGTCCGCAGCATCCCCCACAAGCGTTCATCCCTGGGGGGAACCCCTCCGAATCGTTCCTTGAAGACGCGCTTAACCCCGTTGTCGCTGGCCTTAACCCAGGAGATGGCGGATTCTCCCCATTCTGATTCTTTTGGAGGCCTGACCGGTGAATGACAGGGGATTGGGGTCGCGTACGGCGGAATGCAAGGGCCGTGGGGCGAGGGAATGAGACTTCAGACTGTTTTCTCCCGATACCGGTCTCATGATCGTCCTCCGTGGTATTTAGTGAACACACAAATGTTTTGTCAAGGACACCCTGTTTGTGTACCCTCGTGCCTTCCCACGGGGGCTACCGTACGCACCCACGGAAATAAGAGTTGATCTGGGGACTATGTTAACCCAGGGACCGATGCACATGAGTAGAACCTTGATTGCCTTACACAGTGCTCCTTCCAGCACAATGTACACAGCATCTCTTGCAGACACAGAACATACAACATAGACTGAACACATGCGCGGGCTCTCTCTCGAGGGGCCCCGCACTTGGACCCCCAATAGCATACCCCCCCCCACAAAACTCTCCAGATCGGATCTTGCATCCAAGTACCCCAAACACACCCTGACCATGGGACACTCTAACCCTGGTCAATAGTATCTCACCGTGTGTCTACTTTCGGCAGGCGATTCCCTTGCCCCCTCCTCCGCACACGCCGATGCCGTTCTGGTGTCCACCTGCAGATGTCCTTGACAGCACCGCCACCATCTGTCCTTCCAGGAATTGCCACTTGTCTCGTGCACGGCTCCGAGGTTTCGCAACCGCCGGCCTTCGAGCCGCACTGTTTACAACAAATCCCGCTCGTCATGCTTGTATCGCTTGCGGAAGAAGAAGCGGTGGTTGTGGTCCTCAACGATCTGCCGGATGCTGGTATTGGAGAAGCTGAGGTTGGCGGTTGTGGGCCTCGCGACGGCCGGGATGGTGGCAGAAGAGACCACGTTGACGACGACGACGACGACGACGACCAAGATGACAATGGAACCGCCAAGGGCAGCGGCACAGAGGAGGTCTTGCCGATTTCCATGCTCGAAGAAGGAGCGGCCACGGAAAGCTGGCGTTCCTTCATACTACTTTTTCTATTCGGGCCGCTCGGGGCTGTCAGTTTTCCTGAAAAAACGGACGGCAAAGCGGGGAAAGTTTTTTATTTACAAAAGTACTTACATGTAGTGGAGACGTAATGCCTAATTCCTATGTAGACATGGGAATGAACTGTCCTGTCAACGCAAACTTTCGAAAGAATAGCCACATGCACAGCAGCCACATTTAACAATAATAAGCGGGGAAAGTTTCTTATTTACAAAAGTACTTACATGTAGTGGAGACGTAATGCCTAATTCCTATGTAGACATGGGAATGAACTGTCCTGTCAACGCAAACTTTCGAAAGAATAGCCACATGCACAGCAGCCACATTTAACAATAATAAGCGGGGAAAGTTTCTTATTTACAAAAGTACTTACATGTAGTGGAGACGTAATGCCTAATTCCTATGTAGACATGGGAATGAACTGTCCTGTCAACGCAAACTTTCGAAAGAATAGCCACATGCACAGCAGCCACATTTAACAATAATAAGCGGGGAAAGTTTCTTATTTACAAAAGTACTTACATGTAGTGGAGACGTAATGCCTAATTCCTATGTAGACATGGGAATGAACTGTCCTGTCAACGCAAACTTTCGAAAGAATAGCCACATGCACAGCAGCCACATTTAACAATAATAAGCGGGGAAAGTTTCTTATTTACAAAAGTACTTACATGTAGTGGAGACGTAATGCCTAATTCCTATGTAGACATGGGAATGAACTGTCCTGTCAACGCAAACTTTCGAAAGAATAGCCACATGCACAGCAGCCACATTGATGCCAAACAACGCCTAGATCTGTGAAAAATAATGAGTTAATACACCTTTGGAATCGAACTGCCGACAAAGGCGGCCTGCCTCGACGTTTCCGGGATCAAGCTCCAGGGCTCTTCGGTAGTCTGCGTGCGCTTCCGAAATCCGACCGCCGAAGTATTGCGCATGTCCCCTCGAAAGGTAGTAGGCCGAGACCTGTGTGTATGTATTTTTCGCGATAGTTATTCCAAGCGAATGCCAAGGAAAGAGGAACACAACCGGAGCAGCAAGTCAGAAGGGTGAAGCACCCTACGCTGAGTACAGGACGCCCGAGGACCGAGCCTTTCGTACGACAACATACCCAGATGCGAGTTTGAAAGATGCAGAGTCGGCGTTGTCAATGAACAAACGCGGCTGTAACGGGCAGCGTGCAGCCCCTCTAGCAGCGCACAGTGCTGAGATCCTTACGAGTCGGACCCAGTCAACTCGGCCAAGTGTATGCAAGCCATCAAGATCTGCTCTTCCGCTTATGGCAAGGTTGAGTCCACCAATACTGAGCTTCCAAAAATTGGGAGTGAGGTTCAAACTTGCTTGTGGGTGGCGTGTTCATCTTTGATATTTGAACCTTCATGTTATAAGCGAGGTTCCAACTTGCTTGTGGATGGAATGTTCATCTTTGATATTTGTACCTTCATGTTATGAGCGAGGTTCCAACTTGCTTGTGGATGGCGTGTTCTTACTTTGAAATTTGTACCTTCACACAGTCTTTGAAAACGGCCAACAGCCAACAGCCACTACGCGTGTTCTTCCTACGTGACGGCTCTGAACTAAGGCCGACTTGCCATAGCGCTGGCAGTCTACTCTACAGTTCAAAAATATAACGGCCCTGAGCAGTCATTAACCAATCGATGTAATTGCTCGTACGTATCGGCTACCGTGAGCCCAGAAGAATGTAAACGCACAGCAGTTCTTTTCGAATCCATGACGTCTGCTGCTGTACAGCCTTGCGTGCCGGCCGCGCACCTGGCACTTGTGAAGGCTGCCTACAGCAGTTGTGCTCTGTTGAAGTGGGTTATATTGAGAATGTCTCGTCTACTGCTGTACACCCAGAAAATATTTTCAAGCGCAGCGAAGTAGGTTGTGCACGAAGAATCCCCATCGGTATAAATGTCATAATAGCATCAACTAGCCTACGGCAAGTGAATGCAACCGAGCCGGCGCAGTCAAAATACTGTAAAGACGTATGCAGTGCCAACAGCAGGTGGCGCTGTTCGTAAGACGAACACGATGGAATTGTACAGCTAGCTGTAGTCTACCGCAGATTTTCGGGGTCTTCCCGCAGGAACAGCCAGTACGAAAGAGAGCTGCACACCTACCAAAAAAAAATGTTGGTTCTTGCGTATATGTGTACATCATCCCGTCGAAGGAATTCTTCATGCGCTCGATGCATGGCACGGCAGAAATGTCTATATTTTATGACCGAGGAAGAGAGAGAGCGAGACAGCACCAACACATGGGCGTGGTGAGGTACATAGAAAGATCTGCGGCAAGGATGAGCAAACAGCAGTAGGACACGCGCCCCCGGTGCGTGCCAAGCCACAAACTTATCAATACGAACTCCCTCGTCACACAAAAACCGTAAAACCGTGAGTGTGGCAGTGTGGCAGTAGGTTCACACACAGGCAGTTCGTGCTCCTTGCATCACACAAAGCGCGCATGTGTGACAATGACGAAGTGTGGCAGGTGGTCGGGCACCGCCGTCGCCGCTACCGCCCTGGCGGCAGCAAGGCGGAACAACAGCAGCCTCCGGCGGACATGCGCCGCATGGCCACTCGGGGAACAGGTCTCGCCGCATCCAACAACACCGCAGCAAGCATCGGAAAGAGCACGGCCAAAAGCAAGGCGGCACCCAACAAGTACTCCTATGGCGAAAGAAACAGTAGCAAGGAGCAGTCACCACTGGAGCAAACAGCAGGAGAGTTGGTCCGGGCAGAGCTTGCAAAGCTGGAACAACTGAAGGTGCTTCTGCGAGAAACGGCGCTGTGGCAACGCCTCGTTGAGGGCTTGAGACATATCCTGCCGCAGTTGGGGATTGCGGCTCCAACTCCCGCGGGAAGCTCTTCTACTACTCCTGATCCTCCTGCTATTCCCCCTGCTATGTCCTCTTGCCCAAAGAACGGCGTTGGCGACAACGACAGCACTAGCTCCGCGCCGGCATCAAGGCGGCGCCGGGGGCTGCGCGAGCTCGTTTGCTACGGCATCGGCAATTTCAGCGAGAATCACAGCTCGAGATACCAGTTTGCCCTCGCGCTGTGCCTTCGTGACTTGCTTGTGAGGATAATCGACGATACAGGTGCCACGGACGAAGCAGCACCAGCAGCAGTAGTAGCAGCAGCAGCAGCAACAGCAACAGCAACAGCAACAGCAGCAACAGCAACAACACCGCAGAGCCTCGTAGGACTTGACAGCAACGCCAGCAACGCGGAACGAACACAGCAGCAGCTGTGCCACGACGGCACAGCATCCCTCACGAAACCAGCGGCAGAAGGAGCGGTGCTGGATTGCTCCCTGCCAGAGACGGCCCCCACCGACGGGGGCAGCCGCGGTGCTCCCGCAGACGCAAGCAATTTGCCGAGTAGGCAAACCAACCGGTCCCAAGAAAGCAACCCCACTGGGGTGGCAATGCTCGTGTTTGATCCAACCATGGGAGAAGCCGAGAAAGCGATTATGGCGGCGCTCGGTTGTGGCTTGCTGGAAAACGAGGAAGGGAAACGGTGCTGCTGTCGCTGCTGTGGTGAACGCGGCAGTGGCGACAAAGCAGGGGGCGAGGACGTGGCGACGCCGACGCTATTCTTCATGCCGCACTGCCCCCAGCGCCTGTACAGCAACGTGCTCTGGGCTAACTGGTGCTCTCGGGGTGAGTGAAGGCATGGGTCGTGTTCTTTGGAAAGGGTGTTCTGTCGACAAACCCTTGGGCCCGCTCTCTGCCATTTATGCAAAAGTTTGTCAACTTGTTTTGTACTGCTGTACCTCTCCCATGGAGGTCGTTTGTAGTGTGGTCGCGTCATGGGCACTTCGCCGTAGCGTAGACAACAGCGAGTGGCTGCACCCCCAAGCGGTGTTACCGCGACCCTTCGCGTGGTAAAGCATTCATCAGCTTGGAGGCCTCCAGATCGAACCCCGTGACGACCCACAAGCTAGACGGTGGACGTTAAGCGAGCACCACGAGTGTGCTTACCGTCTGTAGGGGTCCCTCCCTCCCTCCCTCCTTCCCGCCACAACGCCACGCTTCGCTTGCTCCGTTGACCCTCGGCCCTGGCCGCCGCCGCCCGCACACCCAGCAATGGGCTCGATCCTTATCCTCGGCAACAAGATCTCGTCGTACACGGATCGGCTTCTCGACGCTCGCAGCCGGGTTGACCCAACCAACGCCCTCCTTCGTGCCGGGCCGCTGCTGCAAGACATCGACCTTCTCCCGTACCCGGGTTCGGATAGGGCTAGGTGGCGCCGGGACGTCGAGAAGCTGCCGAGATTCGAGCGAGCGTTCAACGACCTGGCGCTGTCGTTTCCGAGCCCCGATGCCCGTAGTTCGGCAGAGGGGGCCAAGGCCTTGCTCGACAGGCCGCAGGAGTTTTTCGAGGAGGAGGATGGGGAGCTTGTGACGGGACGGGCGCATGGCGGCAGATAGCCGTGTGCATCTCTGGTTTCGGGGCGGTTTGGGTGATAGCGTTGCTGGGGCTTGGTGATGTTTCGATCAGCGCTCCATGCCCAGCAGGTCGTCTGTGGGAGCCAGGGAGCCAGATGCACGTGTTTTGCTGCGGCTCGTCGTTTGTTTCCTCCGCTTTTGTGATTCGAAACCTTTTCGCATCTCTAGTACCATAAGAGATGTGCGAATGATGGCTTGCTGGGTTGATGTTTGCTTGCTCTTGCCCCGAACGCAGTGCAATCTCTGGCGTCCGTTGCTTCTTGTTGCCTCCACAACTATGCTTCCGCGCAGTCTCAGCGACCCCCGATACGTTCTCAACGTGATTTCACGTCTTTGAACGCTGGTGCGACCATTGTGTGCGCTTGGCTAAATCCTGATTGGTTAATGACGAGGAAGAGCATGGTTACTTAATCCTCAGCCCATTTGTTTGGTCGCCATATCCAGGCACCATGTTGGTTCCTGTATTTCAAACAAGCTTGCGCGCCGCTTTTGAGCTTGAGTCCGTGCCGGCTATCTTGACCGCACGCCATCAGGTGTGTCGCGTTTGCGGGACTATACCCGTGTACCTCCAGAGGCATGTCTGCCTTCCCTCGCTGCGAGTACAGTCGTTCGCATCGCCTTGACCTGACCACCCGCTCGTACTTGGACATTACGGCGCTCCGGAAAGAACGGTAGGCATTGGTTGACTTGGCTCGAACTCTCGGCTGCAGCGCTTCTATCCACCACATCCGCCACCGTTGTGCTAGGGCCCCGAAATTCTTGCGATGAATCCGCTTGGTTAATACGTGCAAGCTGGTTTTTGCGCTTCTGGTAGCAAACTGTGCACGAGCTCCAACATGCAGCAGGTCTTGGTGTCGTCATCGACCTGCAGACACGCTACCTAACATCCCCGCAAGACACTACCGCCTTCGGAAGCACATCTCACACTCTTCGCCGAATGGTACGCCTTGCCAGGGAAAAGAAAAAAAATGGTTTTCACCTTCCAATTGTAGGCGATGGCCGTATCGAGCTCACTTTTGGCCTCCAGAAAATTCCCGTCGTTGAAGAGGCTGTGGCCCTGAAAAATCGTTCAGCGAGAAGAAGGCGACGGCAAGGAATCGGTAAGAACCTCAAGTACGACCCGCGTTTGCTTACGTCGTCACCGCTGCTTCCGCACTGTAGATGGGGGGGGGATTCTCGTAGTCTAACATCACCACATTGATGAAAATATTATTTTAATGGAACATGGCGTACGCTTGGCTCGTACGAATTCCCCACATTTTCCCGAGATCTAGCGAGATGTCGAAGTTTGTTCCGAGTCTCATCCATGCATCGCACGTCGACCAGGGGTATCAGGTCCTCTCCGACCGATCACCCCGGTTCTCGCATGAAAGTAAACGATTTTGGACATGATCGGTTTCGCCGGGAGATGGTTGGTTCGAGGTGTTGCCTCTACCCCTTTGGGAGAGCTGACCCCCTCCCATACCTGCAGCTGTCTTGGGCTGGCGTTGCTACGCGCATTTCAACAGCCCACGGAACTTTAATCACAATGCTGTCGGCGAGGTACTGAAAGTGGTGCTGCCCTGAGTAGACACCTTTCCTGGGTGCAAGGTCCTTTCGGAAAGTAGTGATAAAAACAAGCGAGAGCGTGTGAATCATTTTACCTACTGCTATAGAAGCTATACGGCGGGCGTCACCTTGAGATAGTGTGCCATAGATAGGCGAGTCTTGACCATCCAGTTGCTGGGCTCGACTTCCAAAGCGCGCGTGTAGTCGCGGACAGCCATCTCAGCGTCGCCGCTGCCACGGTAGCAGTCCCCCCTATCATAGTCCAAGACACAAGGCCAATTTCATTGAATTTGATATGGTTTACAGCAAGGTCGGGGCAGGTTGGTGCTAAAAACACCTCACTAAGAAGCACAACATCTTGTCCCTACAATGGTATTATGGCCCCTTTCTCGCAAGAGATTTCGACAAGAAGACGTGAAAACAAGCCATAGTTCACACGCCAAATACTATTTACTTTCAGGCAACATACACCTTGCCTGTTTAAGAAAAACTTCGACTCCATCGCCCCGCCTGTTGCCAAGGCAGACGCCCGATCACCGTCTATCGCTAGGTCAAGCGCATAAACCGCCTTTCCATGACAGCAGCAGAGGCCCATCCGTGCCGGGGGAAAGCGGAGGGAGAGTTGAAACGCGACAGATGAAAATAAATGTGCACACCATTTCGCTGAAGGGAGCTTCCATCTGCGGGGCACCGCGATGCATGTGTGACGGTGTTACCCATACTGGCGTACCATCTCCCACCATGGTCGAAGAATCAACTAGCCACGCAAAACACTAGGGTAAAGTCGGGACACAGCTATTCCCGTTGCTGACATAACCCAAACCCCAGGCGAAGGCGCCTAGACGACAAGTCTCCTAGGTAGACGGGTGCTGCAAAGGCTTCAACGAGTCGTGTCGAAAATGTCGATTAATCCCATCGAGTTGTCATCGGTCGTGCGGATTTTCCGCAAAACGTGAGATAACCTATGGCTGTTACTCGGAGGTGTGGATTGCAACCCCATAGTCTAGAGTTTTGATGAGGACAACATCTTCAAGGGCTATGTGACATGGTGGGGGGTGTAAATCGCTGTCCGCTGTCGACATAATAAACTTGTGTGCCGTACCGTACAACCTACGGTCTCAAGGAGAACATACACGAAGTTAACTCAGCCTGTCGTGTGAAAGAGGGAATCGTCGTCGACAGACGTTGGGAGATTGTAACCTTTATGAAGGTGATCTCGACAGTTGATATCAGCACAGTTTCTACATGCGTGAAAGGCTCTAGGACACGGGCAAGTGGAGACCACCTGTCCACTGGTATCTTCTCGTTTGCAAGGATCGAATCATCACCACCATCAGATCGTCCTTCGCACCTTTTCGTACTCCCCGACCTCGAACAAGCTCAAAGCCCAGTCGTTTAGGACGAGACATCGCTGCCTCGTGATGTACGGGGGCTCCGAGTACCCTTCCCTCTCCTTCCCCTCCGCTTGAGATTGCTGCCCCCGTTCGCCTTCAATGATGACAGTCTTCAACAGTCCTCCATTCCCCTCGGAGGGAATGCCTCCCGAAAGTGTCGACGACAATATAAGATTTTGCTGCTGTTGCTCTCGAGAAAGTCGCTGAGGCGGCGTCTGCTCCTTCTCTTGTTGCTGTTGGGGCTCTAACGATCGGAGGATATAGGTAGGGTCTGGTCCGGCGTGTGGGATCGCCAAACGGAACCTCCGGCGGAGCTCCTCGTCGGCCAGCCTCTCACAATCAACCTTCGAACGTTTTGACAAAGCATGGGAGGATATGACTGAGAGAGGGGGGGCGTACCCTCATGTTTTGCATGCCTTAGCGGTTACACCAATGACCACGCGTCCTCTGGAGGACGGAGAGGGGGGGGGGGGTACTCATAG